CACATCTGTATGCTGTGGGGCCCTCCCGAGATCCCCATACCCCAGGCCTTTAAAAAACTCCCCTATAGCTGTACCCCACCATACTGAGCCTGAAGAGCCTGGACCCAGGCTCACATCTCCTGAGCTAACCTCCACATCCATGCTTCCGAAGCTGACTGGCTTCCATCTGGATGGAACTTGTCTACTGCCCTTACTCTTGGGCCTTCCCACACAATCCTGGGCCAGGACCCATTCCAGTATTAACCAGTTCAGTGTTTGCTCTTGTTGGAGAGACTTGACTCTACAGCGGCCAGATCTTGGAAGGCTGTGCCTGGAGCAGTCTTTAGAGACTGCCAAGGAGAAAGAGAAGGCAAAGAATGAGAAGCTGACTCTGCCCAGCCTTTGATGTGGTCAGAACGCCACCACCAGCTACTTGAAAAGGGACAGCTAGGGATCTGGAAGTGGCCTCCCCACCTTTGCCCCAGCTGCAGGCTTGGAATTGTCTGAGGCTGTGTGGCTTGAGCAAAGGGTAGTTTAAAGCACAAAACCATGTGGGGAGAGAGCTGCCTCACTGGGAAATTCTCGTGCTGCCCATTGTGGTGGTAGCACTGGCAGGAAGCTGTCAGGGCATTTATCCCTGTCCCACCCTCTCCCCATTCCTGAAGGCCTCCCCTGGTGTCTGGGCTGGGTGCAGCCACACGCCCTTGGCTGAGCCTGGTTTGTTTGTGTGGGCAAGACCTGCCCTGCAGGAACAGTGAATTCCTTCCCACCATGTGGCCCAAACCTGTGGCATCTATCCCTTTGTCCTTGCTACATCCTTTGCTTAGAGCAGTGGCCGGGTGACCCCACTGAGCTTTCCTGAGCCCAGCTTTCCCCTCCTGAGTCCCAGGTCTTCACTGCTCCTTATGTGCAAGAACAGAATCCACAGGGAAAGCAGGATTTTTTGACATCTTTGTTCTCTCCCCTGTGCCCACCCCTCTTCATCTCCAGCACCCAGTTGGCCCTCTTTGCTTCCTCCTCTTCCACCTTCAGTCGTGTGTCCCAAAAGCTTTCTCAGAAAGTGGGAAATCGGTACTGCTGAAAGTCAAAAGACCACTGAAGTCTTGGTGCCCTGCCCTCCCACCAGCTCTTACAGCCATTGCCCCTGCCCAGGCTGTGGGGTCTCCTTTTGGCTCATGCGCTCTCCGTGACATGGTAGCACAAGGTGTGTATATGTTTTGTACCTCTGCTGATGACTGTACATACTGTATGAAAGTTATTTAAGCCTCATGCTGTACATTTCTGTTATGGAATTGGATATGTGTGCTCTGAGGATTTGTCATAAATAAAACTCGAATGACCATTGTCTGTGCCAAAGTGTGGCTAGTGGGCTGTTGACCTGTGGCTGGTAGTGCTTTCTTAGGGGTGGGAGGTTATTTGGGGGTCGGTGTATGAGACTGGTCTTTGTATCTGGGCCCCATGGGAGAACAATGCTCTATGATGAGCTTAGGGTTCCTTAGGGTTCCTCCTCCCCACCCTCCATGTGGCCTACAAGGCCCATGATGAGTGCAGGCACTAGCAGTGATTGAACACACAGTGCCAAGGTACTATTCAGGGCATTTACTGGATCATCCCTATTCCTGGTAATAGGCGAAGGCCTTTTTATGAAATGAGAACAGCCACAAAATGGAAGTGACTCATCAGGACAGGGATGGGATTCGATCAGCCTGTGCTACCAAAGCATCCACTTTCCTTCACTCACACAATGCATTCCTTCTCTAGGACTTGGGACTGCCCGTGTGTGGTACATACTGGACATGTTTCATTTCTTTGCCACTTACAGAGAGAAGACAGAAATGTAAATATATTGAAAAACTCATACATAAAACCAACTCTGCAATGGTTGTAATGTTATTACTAGGTCAGTGTTTTTTCAGTCTTTTGAAAGTTGTGTTCTCCACCACCCTTTTTCATTTTTAGGGCTGGGAAGGAACCTAGAGCCTCATGCACGCTGAGTGCATGGCCTATAACTGATTTACTCTCCCAGCCCCAACTGCATTCTGTTTTGTCATCTATCTCTGTATACTCTGGTGTGTCTGGCCCTCTCCTTAATACCATCCAAGGTTAGAAGGCTCAATGCCTTCTGTACAGCCAGGAGTCCAGGAGCATCTTTTGCTTTGGTTCCCAAATGGAAAGCCAAGTGGCTTCTAAGCCCACAAACATCCCTGCCGTTTATACTGACTGATAAGCCAGAGTTCCATGGGGAGTGGGGAGGGATTCTGAAAGAGGTTTCTGCTCCTCCAGCAGAAGAACGAGTGGGAGGGACCCTTAGCCACAAAGGGAGACACAGTGGGCAGTCCTGCCCTACGTCCCAGCTTCTTGGACAGGCACACACAGCCTTGGAGAACGGTGTGGCTTCCTGAAGATCATTGATTTTGGCTGATCCACTGAGCCCCACCCCATGCCAGTCTCCTGCCCCACCCTTGCTCCCCAAAGCTCACGTTTTATAAAAATCCTATTCTACTCCAAGGACAGATGCAGCCCATTGTGACCTGTGCAAAGTGACAATTGGATGTGGTCACTGGGCTGGGCATTTAGATGAAACTGGGAGGGGGGGACTTCAGCAGTTTCCTCCTTTCCTCTGACTCCTCCCTTCATCCCCCAGAGGGTTGCAGCAACAGTTTTTCCAAATTCAGGTCAACCTGTGGGGACATCAGCACCCTTGGCCATGGGTCCAGAATTAAGAGATTAAATATGGGGGCTAGAAAAATGGCTCAGTAGTCAAGAACACTGGCTGTTCTTTCTAAAAGTTTATTTAGCTGCGCGGTGGTGGTGCACACCTTTAATCCCAGCACTCAGAAGGCATTGGCAGGTAGATCCCTGAGTTTGAGGCCAGCCTGGTATACAGAGTGAGTTCCAGGACAGTTAGGACTATACAGAGAAACCCTGTTAATTTTTTTTTTTTAATTTTAAGTGTGTGTGTATGCCAATATCTTCCTCAATCACACTCCACCTTGCTTATTTATTTATTTGTATTTTATTTGTTTTTGATTTCTTGAGACAGGCTCTCACTATGTAGTCCTGGCTGGCCTTGAACTAACTATGTAAACCAGGCTGGCCTCAAAACTCACAGAGCTGTGCCTGCCTCTCCCTCCCGAGTGTCTTCAGGCCTGGGCTCCAACTTATTTTTGAGATAGATCTCACTGAATTGAGAGCTTTCTGGTTCAGTCTGGACAGCCAGCCCGGGGGGATCATCCAGTCTCTGACTCTGCAGAGCTTGGGTGACATGTGTGCACCCCCACACTCTGCTGTCATCTGCGGGTTTCAGGAGGATAGACTCAGTAGGACAGAAGAGGCCCTCAAATCCAGTCTTTTATGCCTATTTCTTGGTTTAACTAAAGTGAATGCAGTGGCGTGGGGACACCCAGTCTTAGAGGAGGTTTTATCCCAAAACCCAGTTACTGGTTGTTGTGTTTGATTTTATTTTTAAGATAAGATATACTATTTATTCTGACACATTTGTGCTTTGGGGACACGGAAGGAGCTATAAGGTATTAGTGAGTCTTGGCTATTTCCATTTACTCCACGTATGAAGTGTTTAGCCCAGAAATCTTCCTAATAGTCACTGGTGGCAGCCGATGAGCCAGGAAACAGGACAAGAGGAAAATGTGAGGAAAAACCTGGTTGATGCAGAGATTAGTGGGACCATTAATAACATCCTGGGGGTTGTTTGCAAGCTGGTGAGCTTAAAAGATAATGCAAGAAAGATGTGGGCCTAGGGAGGACCAGCAAAAAGAGGGCAGGTCATTTTTCTTTTCTTTTTTCTTTTTTCTTCCTTCCTTCCTTTCTTTCTTTCTTTCTTTCTTTCTTTTTTTGTTGTTGTTGTTTTGAGACAGGGTTTCTCTGTGTATCTTTGTCCTGGAACTTGCTCTGTAGACCAGGCTAGCCTCTAACTCACAGAGATCCACCTGCCTCTGCCCATTGAGTGCTGGACACCTCAGGTTCCTGAAGGCTTGTGTGCAAGAGACAGCTGGGAACTTCAAGACATGGGACTGTGAAGCCAGAATTCACAGTGGACAGGGCTCCAGCCAAGTCCAAGCATGCTTGCCCATTGAAGGAGCTTGCATTTGTTTTGGGAAATGAGATTGTTTCCTATAAGCTTTGCCCAATGACTGAAGGTTGAGGTAACAGAAAACAAAAAGGTGAGGGGAGAGGGACTATAGTAGCCGCAGATGACCCTGTATAGACGCAGAACATCCCAAGGACTCACTGTCAGGCAGATCTCAGTAAGGCCAATTGTAACAGGGGCATGAGAAAGAGCAAGTCCCCTTAGTGTGTCAGGGGAAGGATACTTCGGAGCTGTGGTTTGGGTGGTACCCAGGGGCAGCCAGCCATAAAGCTGCTTTTTATAGAGTGTCCCTATCTACAGAGTTAACCACACTCTCTGTGAACACACACACACACACACACACACACACACACACACACACACACACACACCACACCAATCACTTTCCGATTCAACTAGTTAGGGGGACACTGCTGTTTACCAATTAGAACAATGCCCAGCCACTAGGAGAGTTCAAAAGCAGCCTGGGCTATGTAGCAAGACGGTATCTCAAATAAAATAAAGGCTGGCTATGGTGACACACATCCATGATCCCAGCACTCAGGAGGCAGAGGCAGGAGAATATGAGTTTGAGTCCAGCCTGGGAGCATGGCAAGACCCTGTATAAAAACAAAACAAACAGCTGCCAGCACAAATGAATTCTAGATCCCACATGTGTCTAACACTCGTTCAAAGAAAAGTGCTTACTGTGATCTTAGATCACTCAGCTGCATGGGAGTGGGTACAAGGCAGCAGAGCCAGAGAAGCCAGCCTGACCCAGAGGATTTCCACACACAAGGCAGCTCATGGCCACAAATTGACATCCAACTCCACAAAAACACATGCTTTCTCTTTTTATTAGAAAGGTTCTACAGGGACACATCAATTCTAGTACAGGACTGAGGAGGTGGTCTGATATCGCAGTGTTCTTGGTCTTGGACCCTAGCATGCAGGCTCAGTAGACTCTCCTTTGGATCCCTCTCATGCAGAGGCAGAACAAAGGGGTCTTAGCTGGCATCTTGGTACCCTTAGCTTCTAGGATGTAGAAAGTCTGTTCAGTGAGGCATCTAATTATGGGGTCAGGGTCTTTCTTCATGTACTTGAAGGCTGTAACAGAACATGGGATGGTACAGTGGACAGAAGAAAGGGACCAGGTGGGGCAACAGGGCCCTGGCACTGCTTAGAGGAAGCCCAGCAACTTTTACAATATAAGCAGAAATGTCTTCTACAAGTCCACACTGTCCATGATGGTCAAGATCCCCAAATTGCCCCTGGCTCAGGGAGACACAGGACAGGCTGTTCTTTTGGCCCTCCCACTTGCCCCTCCCTAACTCTGCCTTCTTCTTCCATTCTCTGTGAAGTCCTCTGATCCTCTAGGAGAACTGCAGCCCAGGACAGAGCCATACCTAGGGGTCTGTGCTATGAATGCAGTATGGAAGGATAGGAGAGAAGAGAGTACAGGCGACATAGCTCAGGGACAGTGAGAACACAAAGGTTCCCACACTGTAACACGAGCAGGGATGAAGCTCCCGAGGGGTTGGGCTGGGGACATGGTGGTACCTCTGGGGAGAAGGTAGCTCTTTCCTAGGGAGAGTTTAAGGGACCAACCTGGCAGACAAACAGCCTCAACAGCAGTGCGAGTGAGTGGGTGTGGGGAGCAGAGGAGCTCTGACCAGTACCCCAGACCTACATGACTTGGAGATGCAGCTTTGTGCTCCTGGATGATGATCTTTTGGAACACTCCTGCCTTCGTTTCCAAGCCACCCCTCTGATGCCAGTACCCCTAACAGATGCAAGCAGTAAGCAATGGGCTGGCCACTTACCCAGATATTCCTCCTCCATTTCCTCTATCTCAGCCCAGTCAAGGTCCCGGATGATCTGCCCTACAGGGGCACACAGGCACTCAGTGGTCTCACAAGGAGCCCGTGGATCCTAACTATAAGCTTCCTAGAAAAAGTCATCACCGTCCTTTTGTCTGTCTTTCCCACCTTGGTGACCAGCCTTGGGGCTAGACTACTTTTTCATTTCTGCAAAGGACTCTTAAGTAATTGGGCCAGGTGAAGGAAGATATAGATAAACTCTGCCACAAAAGATGCCTGTCCACAGGGTGGCAGGAGGTAGTGTCTACCTGCTACTGAACTTCCACCACTGGGACCACACACAGCCCGATGCTCCACCCTTTGGGAACTATGCTGTCTTGGTTTCTCTTAAGAGTTGGCCCATTCTACTATAGACAGGTCATCCCTACCCAACCAGGGGCTCCCTGTGGCAGAAGGGAGCAGATAGGGGTCATTGCCAAGGACTCTATAATTACCATGGGTCCTGTAATTAGAACCTCACAGGCCTACCCAACTTCAAGGAGAGAGACAGTAGCTCCAAGAAGACAGAGGGCCATCATACCTGTAAACCACACAGCCAGCTGGCGGATGGGGTCCTGCCGACTCTTGAAGAGAGCCACACTCTGCTTCAAAAACCAGAGCACCTTGTGCCTTTCCTGCTGCAACTGGAAGAAGCAGCGTTAGATGGCGCAACTAAAGTGGTACCCTGCCAATTTTCTTGCCTCTCACACAGTCTAAATAGGAGGGTCAATGGAAATTTTCCCAACTGCTAAACAAAACAAAACAAAAACTTCAAAACCTCCTGTAAATTCTTGTGTCCCAGTTTCTGGGACCTTATTTCTTCCATGAAGCCTTCCTAGACTGACCAAGTCCCAGGAATGACAAAGTCCTTGACATAGTGAGGAGTCTTTGGTTCTATTGGTGTCTAGCTTTACTCATGCCCTGTAGTCTCAGGCATTTGAATATTAGGTCCACAACTGATGACATTGTTGGTGAGGTTTACGAGTTGTGGCCTTGTTGGAAGTGTGTCACTGGGGACAGTCTTTGAGAGTTTAAAGCCTTGTGCCATTTTGAGTTTGCTCTCTGTGCTTCATGCTTGTGGTTCAAGATGTGAGCCCTTGGATCCCTGCTCCTGCTACCATGCCTTCTCTCCACCATCATGGACTCTCTGGAGCTGAAAGCTCAAATAAAGTCTTCATGACGTTTAATCACAGCGTTTAATAGAAAAGGAACCAATAGGCTAAGCATTACCCCTCATCCATTCCTCCCCCATGAAGATGACCTCTCTGCTGGGGTCAAGCCTGTACTCAAGTGGGAGCTGGACAGAGTGCCTGCCCTGCCTTTGTATAAGCACATTCCTCTCCTTTACCCTTTCCCGAAGACTCGGAAATTCCCAAGTGATGTACCTAGCTCTCCAGGGCAGACAGAAAGTGCCAAGCTGGCAGAAAGCACCACTCAGTGGCCAGCACAAAGAAGATACACTGTTCAGTGAGTGATGTGCTGTTGCTGCTAACCCAGGCTACAGGGTGAAGAGTAACTGAGATGGCTTGTCGGGGGTGAGGGATAGTGGGATGGGGGTGGGGGGATGGGGGTGGAGGGCAGCCCCATTGCACAGGGCAGAATGATGAGTCAGCTGCTGGCTTACCAGGGCACTGAGGATGGTGAATGCGTCATTCTTGGCGAAGGCCACTTTGAATTTGGACCAGCCCAGGATGGTAGCTACATTGCAGAGGCAGACCCTACAGACCTGAGGAGACAGGCAGCTCAGCATGAGGGATCAAGGGAATAAGGTTGTACAAAGATGCAGAAGGGTCCAGGAGGGAGACAGGTGGCAGCCCATTTGACCTTGGTGGATTGACCCTGCAAGGATCCAGGTTTAGGAAAAATGGAGAGCCCGTCTAGACATCTGGATCTACTGACAACCCCTTTTTTTCCCATGAAGAAGAAGTGACAGTTCCAATGCTTTTTCCAGTTGCTGTGATAGTCCCACAGCAGCATGACTCTACAGCACAGCCATTGGCTTTCCAACCCTAGAGCAGTCTGTCTGAAAACAAATATCAGGCTTTTGCTATGTAACCCAGGCTAGCCTTGAATTTGCACCTTAGACCCTCGGGTTCACAGAAGTATACCACCTCACCCAGGTTCCTCAAAGTCTTGACACCCCACCTGGGTGGTCTCTGCTCTACATCAATGTTGACTTGGTCAGGAATATCACTTTGTTCATCCCTTTCTGTTACGTGCTCAGCAGCATCCTTGGATGTATCTAAGTGGTCTTCTGTTACAAATCCAGTCAGTAGTTTCTGAGTATCTACTGTGGTACATGCTTCTGGTTTTCTGGGCTCAGGGCTTGGCCTGTCATAGTCTAGGCCTCTCTGCTCTGCCCGGCATACAACCCATACCAGGAGCTCTCCCACTCCAGCCATTGGTAAGACAAGGGCAAAAAACAGTCTGTAGAAAGTTCACAAGAGGAAGAGGAGCTAGTGCCACAATGAGACTTCCTGCATCAGAGTTTGTGTGCCAGTGAACTTCTATTGGGTCAAACTGGAGCTGGAGGAGAGTCAGCCCAACAGCCAGTCACCTCTACTCACCGAACCTCTCCAATTCAAAAGTCTAGTGGCCCCTCTCAGTGTTACACAACCCTGCCACAGCCCTGTCCAAGGGCTTACCATGTTCTGCATTAACATCCACTGAGAACTGAATGCCAGGCTCCAGGGTCCGGCTTCTCACCTCCACCACGTCGGTGTTTACATCCTTCAGGTGTGCCACAAGGAGGATCAGCAAGCTGAGGATCTGGTGCCTCAAGGGAAAGACAAGGGTCATCCTTGAGACTTTAGCTAGGATGGTCCCGTAGATCTCGAAGGCTATCAGGCGCAGCTGCTCTGACTCCTGGAGAAGAGGAGACCCTCTCAGGAAGACACTGACACCCCTGCACCTGCACCAGTCATCCAGGTCACCACGTTCCCGTGCACATCCCCCATCTATCTCCTTATTCAACAACACAGCTCGCCTGTGCTGCTCTCACCTGCCCTCTTTTGACTATTACAAAACAAGGGTGCAGAAGCAGTCAGTCTCCCAAGGACTTTAGGGAGCCAAAGAAATTGGGGTCAAGGAAAGGGCTTTGTAAGACAGAGCCACCCTTCTCCATTATCCCACAGCCCTCTTAGGGGAAGAGAGCAACTTCTCCATCCCTCCCGGGGCTTTACCTCCTCAAAGAAGTGTGCCAGAGTAAAGGCCAGCTCAGTGAGGAAGGAAGAGGCATGATGCCAGCTAAGGTCCTTGACGATGCGCTGTAGCATAAGGAAGGTCTTCATCACCAGCTCGCAGCTGCAGGAGTAGCAGCAGCTCAGCAAGTACGGCTGCAGGATGTGGAAGTGCCTCATCTACAGAGTGACAGCCGCTCAGAAGCAGAGTCAGGAGACTGTCCCCACTGACATCTCCCATCAATCCCACCCCTCACATAGACCAGTGGGCACAAGCTCTCCTGATTTTTCACTCTGGAAGTAGGAATGGCCCCAACGCTGGATGGCGGTCAAACTAGACTGTCAAAAGGGTCCCTGGCCAGGAACTTTCTGCTCTCCGTGGGCAGAGGTGAGAAGACAGAGATGTTCTGCCTACTGCACCATAAATTCCTCTCATTGTTTCCCTCACTCCCGATGATGCCCATCTCCAGAGACCTGGATGGAACATCTGGGATCCTGGGATTGGCTGGGCCTGTTCTCTGAAGTGACTTACAGGGCAACTTCCTCCAGGACCGTTCCTGGATGGGAGGAAGCATGAACAGCTCCAGCCCACCTGGTTCTGTGCTTGCACAACTGGCCTCAAGAGGACCCATACTCTAATTCCAAGAGTGTGTCACATCCAGACTGATGTGTCTGGGAACACTAGCTCTCCAGGTCCACCTGTTCCTTCTCTGGGTGCCATGTCCTTGGCCCTTATCCCATTTTCACCGTGTTTTTGTGCTTTGTGAAGATTTCTGTGATCTGCAGGAATAAATGCTCAGTGGTTGACTCCTTATGCCTGAACCATTCTACCAGAATCTTGGTGGAGACTTCATCCACAGCACCTGCCACATCTGGACAGTGGAGCAGCTGGCAAAAGGAGACCAAGAATGACAGAAAGGTAGGCAAGGGAGCAACTGAATCTAGATTTTTGACTTGTTAGTAAAATAACGTTCTTAGAGCCTTAGTTAGAGCTTAAAGGACAAGTTCACATCCTTTCATTCATCTTTTTTGCAAGTCTTCCTTGGGCATCTTTGAGAAGGGATGATGGGAGACAGCAATGAGAAACGCGTACAGCCATCACAGATCCTAGCACTGGGGAGCCTTTAAAGACATGGCTTTGAATTGCCTGGAGAATATTTCAAGGAAAGAGCAGTGAGCCACAGGTTGAAAGCAGCTACAAAGCACCATGAATGGGAGTTTACAAAGGAGCCAGAACTTGGTTGAACTAGACTTGAAGATAAAGAGAACCTCATAAAGCCTAAGTCTTTAGACTAGAAAACAATTCGATAGGATAATAGGAAGGGGTTCCCAGTGGACAGAGGAGTGTGTGTGCCATTCAAAAGGAAAGGATTCCCAGAGGACTGACAAGTGTGTGTGTGTGTGTGTGTGTGTGTGTGTGTGTGTGTGTGTGTGTGTATGTATACATCTCTGTGTTGTATGCATGTGTGTGTCTATATATATGTGTTCTGTGTATGTGCATGTGTGTGCCTATGTCTGTGTGCACACATGTGTCTGTGTCTTTGTGCATGTGTGTGCGTACACTCTTGGTGAATGTACATGCCTATGTCCGTGTGTGTTCATGTGTATCTGTGTATATGTGCACATGTCTGTATGTATGTGCATGTGTATGTCTGTGTGTGTACATATGTGTCCATGTCTCTGAGTGTGTGACTGTGTGTCTGTCCTTAAGGTAAATATGTCTTCCTGTTCTTGTCAGGCCACTAAGGCAGATCTACCATAATTTACTCACTAGCTGAGCAAATTTCTTAAATTCTATGAGCCTGAGTTTTGTCTTTTACAAAGTGAGAATTGAAGTGCTTGGGCTCAGTTTGTTAAGTACCCTGGTTTAAACTGCACAGCCCTGTCTATTTTAAATTCTCTGTGACTGCCTGTGGATGGCGGGAATGGTGAGAAAGGAGGCTTTGTTTTATTTTATGTGCATTGGTGTTTTGCCTGCATGTATGTATGTCTATGTGAGAGTGTCAGGTCTTCTTGAACTGGAGTTACAGTCAGGTGTGAGCTGCCATGCAGCTGGGAATTGAGCCCAGGTCCTCTGGAAGAGCACCCAGTGCTCTTAACCTCTGAGTCATTTCTCCAGCCCTGAATAAGGAGTTTTAAGGGACTGTAAATTGTTCCCAAGTGTTCACAGCCATGGTCTCTCACCTTCAGGTCTGGACCCACTTTCTTAGCTGGTACCTAAACCCCATTGGTTCCCCACTTTAAAACTGTCAGAGCTCCTCCTCCCATTGCTGAAAATGAGTTTCACCCATCTCTCTACCTGAATGCCCTAATCTACACATGCCTACTCCACTCCAGCCTGAAACTTCAATAAGAGTGGCCGCTAAGCAACTGCTTATGTGGGTGTCTACTCTTTTCAGCAGGCTATCGGCATTTGCAGGACCTTCTAGAGTGTTCCCCAGTACCAGCTGTGCCTAGATCACAGTTGTAAACTCCAGAGCTTAGAGCACACTAGTTCCTGCACCCCACCCAGAGCAATTCTGAAGAACTAGGCACCCAGTAGAAGAACAAAAGTGGTGTGAAACTTAGCATCTCCTAGAGCAGTGGTTCTCCACCTTCCTAATGCTGCAACCCTTTAATAAGTTCCTCATGCTGTGCTGACCCCCAACCATAATGTTATTTCTTTGCTACTTCATAACTTTGCTACTGTTATAAATCATAATATGAACATCTGATATGCAGGATATTTGATATTCAACCCTTGTTGAAAACTGCCGCCCTACAGGCTTCTAGTATGCATCAAGGGTTCAAAACTGCTCCTCTAGAAAAGTGGCCCTCCTGCATGTAGGCTAGTCTCCTATGCTGTTTCTCAAAGCTAAGCCCAAGGAGCACCTGACCACAGCAGCCAGCAGAGTGCTTTTAGAAGACGAAGGCTTATTCCAGGTCAACTGGCTCAGGCTTCTGGGGTAAGGACACAAGAGTCTGCCTTTTAAACAGCATCCTCAGTGATTTGATTACACCAAGGCCTGAGACCCGCTGCATGAATGCACCCCCAGCTAATCAGACCTCTATATCCTCCAAGAGAATCCTTAACATACTTAACAAGTGTCTGCTAGCATTTTAGAATGAAGATCACTGTTTGTGTCCTGGTATTGTGGCTATTGTATTATCTTCTGCTTGTATTCAAAAGTAATCTACTTCTTCCTTTCTTATTTCTTTTTAATTAGGTAGGTTGGTGTTAGTGAGATGGTTCAGTGGGTAAAGGCACTTGCTGTCAAGTCTAAGACCTGAGTTCGATCCCTGGGACCCACCTGGTGGAAAGACAGAACTGACTCGTGCATGTTGTTCTCTGTCCACATGCATGTGTGTGCACAGAAGCAAGTGGATCTCTGTGAGTTTGAAGCTAGCCTGATCTACATAGAAAGTTCCAGGTCAGCCAGGGCTACATAGTGAGAATCTGTCTCAAAAAGGGGGTGGGGTGGGAGAGTAGGGAGGCAGTGGAGGGGTGAGTAAGAACAAAATTGTAATGTTGTATATGTATGAAAATATCACAGTGGAACTCATTTCCTTGTATACCAACTAAAAAGTAAATTTAAAAACAACCTAAAGGGGGCTGGAGAGATGGCTCAGAGGTTAAGAGCACCAACTGCTCTTCCAGAGGTCCTGAGTTCAATTCCCAGCAACCACATGGTGGCTCACAACCATTTATAATGAGATCTGGTGCCCTCTTCTGGTGTGCAGATATACATGGAAGCAGAATGTTGTATACATAATAAATAAATAAAATAAAATAAACAAACAAACAAAAACGCAATGAAAAGAACAGGACATAGAATATTAGAGAATAATTTAACCTTATACATACACACACATTCAGACATTCATACACACTCACACACTCATACACATACTCTTATACACTCCCATATTCATACACACTCACACACACTCACACACCCATAGACACTCACACTGATACACACTCACAAACACTCTCATACACCCACATATTTATACACATTCACACACTCATACACACTCACACACTCTCACACTCATACACACACACACACACACACACACACATCTTCATCCAAGCAAAGGCATGAAAGTGGCTCTCTTTAGGTGCACTGCAAGAGAGAAAACTAGTGCACCACAAGGTCAGGGCAGAGTCAAAGCCTTGAGATTTGAGGAGGGTAAAGGCCTATGACTCAAAGAAACCTTACCCACGTTCCCCAGCCCATCCATGGGCATGGGTAAACACTTCTCTTCCCCAGGAGCCTTCTTGAGGTCCACTTGCTTCCCAGGAAGCTGTCCCCACCACCTTCTGCCCACCCTTCTCCAGTCACCTCTGTCAGGAACACCAGGGCTGTGAAGTAATGGACACAGTTTGGGTCCTCCAAGGTCTTGATGAGGAAGCTGAAGATAGGACGATTGTGCCAACACTTCTTGACAACCAGGGACCTGAGATAACATTAGGGTGCTCAGAAAAAGACCCTCTTCTGAACTACAGGAGAGGACCAAAAGCACAGAAGGTCCTCCATGCAGGGACTGGATGCAGCTTACTTGGCCAGCAGAGCAACTCCATCATAGTGCGTTTCAAGGTTGACAAGCAGTTCCCAGGTCCCAAGTGTCTGAATGTGAGACATGTGGTCCATGTACCCCGAGCTTCGCAGTAAGGTCTTCAAGGCCTCTACAGAAGAACTGCGGATGGAGCCAGAGGCAGGGAGTCACTGTCAGCCATGCCCTTGACCTCCTGACCCCATGTGGGATTCTCACCCATCCTGTGAATTATGAACCTGGCCGTGGACTGTTTACAGACAAGGGCTGTGGGGGTCTCCCAGGTGGCACGGGAAGCCTGCAGAGGCTGGGGAAATGGATGCTAGGTCTGTGGCACAGCAGTCTTGTTTTGACTTTATCCTAGAACAGAAACCGGGGGAAGCCACTTTAAAGAGAGCCTATATGTGAGTAATAAAGTTAAGTGTGGAGGATAAGACCAGACCAAGTCTGAGGTGCCAAGATGCTGATATACAGGTCATAGTCCGTAGCACATGGGCCCAGAACCCAAGGTACCTCACAGGGTCCACATATTCTATTTCACGCAGCTCGTCCTGGGTCACAGTGCTCCCGCTAGTCACCAGGAAAGAGATTTGGAAAAGTAGTGCCACAAACACAGAGGCAAAGAAGGTTTGCACCTCTGACCGCTGGCTGGATATCAGCAGCAGCTCATAGATGGCCCTGGTGACCTGGAGTGAGGAGAGCAGGATGTCATCATCGTTATTGTCACTTACAGTTCCTATCACCCAGATAGGCCAGCCCAGTGCGGTCATTGATGTTACCAGCAAGTGAAGACTGGGCAAAGTTACGCCAGGCTGCTTCTGGAATGCCTTTATGTGCTCTTGTAACTATGGGTCTTGCTTTAGCCTCTCAGAGTCCTTAAGCATTCACCAGGCCTGGGGTGTTTGTCTCACCTCACTGTACCCCCATACTCAAAACCAGAATCTGGTTCTTTGGTTCTAGGCAAGTCAATTGACTGGAAATCATCCTTCTAGCCCAACCTGGAGACTCTGCCACTAGAATGCCCAACTACACGTGGGCCCCTAAATGGTACTAGTTCATAGAGGCTAAGCCAGTCCAGCAGAAATCCCAGTGTGATCCCCTCCCAGCCTCCAGCCCCTCCATACAATCAGTGTTGAGAACTTTGTTGCGTAGCCGGCCTCCTGGTCCTTGGGTGTCTGGGGTGAAATCAGCCTCTGTAGCAGATACTCCATGAGCACTTGGTAGCCTTTCGGAAAGGAAGCCAAGATTTCCCAGGACTTGTGCGCCCCTCTGTGGAGTCAGAAGCCACCAGCAGTTATAGGCAACACATTTTTCACTGTTCCTCAACGCTTCCCTGAAGAAGGGCTCTCAGCTCCTTAGCCCAGGTCTAGCTCCCTGCTTTCATCCAATCCTGCATGTCTCTTTTAATTCTTTACACTGTTTCATCACCTTCAGACTTCCTTGTTCTAGGTTACATTGTAGATAGGCAAATAGGAAAATGTTCACTTAACCTGTGGGCCTGGAAACATCAAAGACTGAAGGTTGTCCAGTGCCCTTGAGAGCATCAGATCAAGTCCTTATCTTGTGGCCATAGCTAAGTTCTCCTTACTCTCACTAACACTGCATCTGGGGCTGCAGAGACAGCTCAGTTGGTTGCATGCTTGCCTAGTATACAGCATCCTAGGTCAGTCCCTATTGCTACTAATTTGGTGTGGTTGTTCATGTACCCATAACACCCATAATACCAGCACTTGGGATGTGTTGGAGGCAGGAAGATCAGGAGTTCATGGCTATCCTTAATCACCAAACCTGACAAAGCTATTTCTATCCCTACGACCCAAATGTGAAAGGTGAACACCAACTCCTGCAATCCTGCAAGTTATCCTCTGGCCTACACACACCACACACCACACACAAACATGCACACCACGCACACACACTCACACATACACACATGCTCACACACTAAACAAAAATATTTTTCAAAAAGAGAAGTTCTCTGCTGGCAACATGGCACAACATGTGCTCTAGGGACGAAGGCAAAGTAAAGAACGGCCACTCACTGATGGATGGCAGTTAGACTGACCGCTACTTCCTAACAGCACCAGTGGATAACCTTCCAAGGTTAGCCAACAACAAAAACGTCAACATACAAGCGTCACAGAAAGTCTCTTGTTTAAGGAAAGCTTCTTGAATGAACAAATGGATGGGCAGACCCTTACTAGAGGATAAACTAAAGGACAGACTGAAGGAGAAGAAAAGCTATTTCACAAGGAAAGCCTGGGATGCAGAGAACGCAAGGCACCCCCAAGCCCAAAAAATCTAAGCATGGTGTGAGCATAAGGATGTTACAAGGGGACCTTAATAACAGCAAAAACACTGATGACAAATAGCTGTTAGCAAAAGAATAGGTAAGATAAAGTATGGGACAATCAAATAATGAAATATTATAAACAATCTAAGGATCCAATACATCTAACAAACTGGATGAAACCCAGCAAAAAAAATATAAATAATTTAACAGATTAAATAAATATAAATACATTCACATGTAGAGGATTTATTAACACATTTTTACCAGTCTTGTATAATAATCTTGCATGCAGAGAAAACACACTTTATTTCAAATATCCACTCAACATACAACAAAACTGACATCCATATCTTACTAGTCCATATGTGTTAAAAATCTAAATCTAAAAGAAAGGTTTTAAGATCATATTCCCCAATAATTATTTTAAAAGAAGAAATTGATCAAAATATCTAACACTTGAACACTAAATTGTTGAAGATCTATACTGGTATGTCATTGGATATTTCGTGAAATTTAAAGGTTAATTTTTTTTGGTTGTTTGTTGTAATTAGCAATCTAAAATAGAAGCTTCCTTACCATGATAAGAACACTTACTAGAAATTAATAATAAGCAATTTTAGTTTCTGTTGTCTGAGAACAGGCCCACCGTAGCCTAGCTCTGCCACTGTTTAGAACTACAAATACTTGAAAACACAAAAGGCTTTCGTCACCCCTTTGTCAATGATTGACAGATACACAGAGATCAATGAAGACACAGAAGCCTTGAATAATACTATCAACTATCTTAATCTAATTTACAAAACTTGAATTGGATTAGATCCCGAAAGACTAATAAAAACAGGCAGTTTGGAGACAGAAGCCAAAATGCAGAAAACTAGCCTATTGAGTGAGCATTCCAGATTTAGGTTTTTTTCTCCTTTATCTGCCAACTCTGACTTACACATGACCCCAGAGCAAAACTGTGCACCAGACACAGGCAACAGAACCTCTGGGTGAAATTCTGTCTCCCCAGAGCAGTGGGAAAATGGAACCCTGTGAGTCAGACGGTGTGAGTAGGTCTTTGTTCTTTGTTCTTTCCAAACCCTGTCTGGGTGACTCCGGCATAGCTGCAGAGTGGAAGCTGTCTGGCTGGAACACAAAGATGTGACTTGATGGGTAGGTTAAGGAAGGCATCTCTACTGTTGTTGAGGGCTTGTTTTATTGTTTTAACTTATGTCTGTGGTGCTGGGGATCAGCTGCCAGGGCCTTGTACAAACCCTGTAAGTCTCCACCTCTGAACCACAGCCTAGTGCCCCCCTGTTTTTGCTCTTGTTGTTCTCTGGCCCTCTTTTTTTTTTCCAGTTTATCCCCCTGATAACTATGCTATGTATCAACAAAGACAGCTTAAAAAATCGGGGAAGGGATGTTTCAGAGGCAGCAAGTGAAGTATTCCTCCAGTTGTGTGTGCAAGCCAACACAAACCCCACCGTCACCCCCAAGTGCTCACATAGAGAGAATAAGACTCAAAGAACCCTGAGACAAAGGAAGCTGTGTGGGGAAGGGCAGAACTGCCAGCCAGAATTCTGTATTCAGTGGGAATAATCTTTTAAGATAAAGGTAAAATATTAAAGAGTCTCATATGAAAGAAAACTAAGGGAAGTTGTTACCAAAAGATATGCTCTCAGTGAATTTTAATAAAAAGTTCTTAGCTGAGGAGAAAATTTATTATAGGGAAGTAGGAACTTCAATAATAAAAAGCAACAGAAATAGCAAATACTTGAGTAACTGTAATGGGTCATTTTCTCCACTTAGTTTAAAAATATACATGACTGCTGAAAAGTAAAACAATAACTTTTGTCAAGTTTTTCAGTATATGTAAATGTGAGGTGAGTGGCAGCTATTGTGTGAAGCAAGGAGGCAAAAGGAAGCTGTTGGATCTTCCTTATCCTTAAGTTGTAGATATTAGTTATTAGTAAATTGCAGTGTGGTCATATAAATTCTTAATTGACTAATAAGCTAAAGGTAAGATCTAATCTAATATTGGTAAGGAAAAAACGGAAGGCATGTATAGGTAAAGAAAAATGGTAGTACAGGTAAAGAAAAATGGAAGACATGAAAGAATTCAAATAATTAAAAAAGATGCAGAAAAGAAGACTCTAAGCAGAGAGACAGACAGAAAACAAATCATAAAATGATACATAAATCTAAATAAACCATTAATTACTTTAATTGTAAATGGTCCAAATATACAAATTAAAAGGCATGGATTTTCAGACTGGATAAAAATGCATGACCTAGTTTTGTGGTAAAGTGTTTACCCAACACGCTTGAGGATTTCAGGTCAATCCCCACTACTACAAAACAAAACAAAAAACAATACAAACAACAACAGCCAAATATCCCAAAGATATTACTATATTCTATATAAAAGAAACTTATTCTAGATATATTAGTTACAATAAAAGAACAGAAGAACTAATGGGCTTTAGTCTGAAAGGTACAATTCCCTATATTAACAGGTTGAAAAGAAAATCACACAATCACTTCAATAGATGCAATTAAAAATTTAACTAAATTTAATCTCCACTTGTGATAAACACTCTGAACAAACTACAAATATAAAGAAACTTTCTTTTTTACCTTTAAAAACTTAATTTTTTTGTATTTTGTTGGGGGTCGGAGAGATGGCTCAGTGATTTAGGGCACATACTGCTCTAGAAGAGGACCCAAGCTCAGTTCCCAGCCCTCACATAAGACAGCTTCACAACCACTTACAATCCAGTTTCAGGGATCTGATGCCCTCTTCTGGCTCCTATGGTCATTATACTCATGTACACAAACTCACATACAGACATGTACATGTAACTAAAACTTAAAATGTGTGTGGGGGGGCTTAAAAGACAATTTGCTGTGCTGCAGAGGCAATTCAGCACTGGTTGCTCTTCCAGAATATCTGGCTTCCATCCCCAGCACCCACATGGCAACTCACAACCATCTGAACTCCAGTTCCAGGGAACCCAACACCTTCTTCTGGCCTGTGCTGGTACCAGGCATGCACAAGTTGCCCAGACATGCATGTAATCAAAAACACCATACAAAAAAATTAAATTAAATTAAAAAAAGACAACTTGTGGGAATCTATTTTTCCTTATACCATGTGGGTCCCAGGGTTTGAACGGGGGTCATCAGACTTGGTGGGAGTCAGTACCTTTACCTGCTAAGCCATACACATACTATATGGTTGTAGACACAGGACACTCTAGAAAAGGCAAAATGATGGGGACAGCAGACAAACTAGTGACTGCCAGCAGCAGAGGGGCGTACAGGAAGGGGCAGGTCCTAGAAAGACAGCACAGGAAATTGGGGAGGGGTGGTCATGGACATGCCATCATGGTTGTGGTGATGGTTATTGTGATCATACTTTCAGAGAATTCATATAACTATATGTTAAAAAGGTGAATTTGTTACACATATATTAACTTTTTTTTTGTTTTAGAGACAGGGTTTCTTTGTGTAGGCCTGGCTGTCCTGGAACCCCCTCTGTAGACCAGGCTGGCCTCGAACTCACAGAGATCTGTCTGCCTCTGCCTCTGCCCCTGCCTCCCAAGTGCTGGGATTAAAGGCTTGTGCCACCAACTTTAACTTTTATTTAAAAAAGAAAATTATAATATAGTATAGCCTTACAATATAAGATCAAGAAGCCATTAAAATTTTACTTATTAGAGGGTTATAACTTAGGAAATTCTATAATGAAAAAACACACAAATTTGTAAATATAGTATGGGCTTAACCACACATATATTATATATAATGAATACATATATACAACATATATACAATATAACACATGATATACAACATATAGCATATGTGTATTATATATGTTGTTTTTTAAAACACTGCTTTCAGAAGGTAGACAAAACATAAATTATCCTCAAATGATAAATACATATATTATATACAATATAACACATATATAGCATATAGCATACATACATTATATACAGTTTGGGGTTTGTTTTTTTCAAGACAGAGTTTCTCTGTGTAACAGCTCTGGCTGTCCTGGAACTTGCTCTGTAGATTGGGCTGGCCTTGAACTCACAGAATCCACCTGCCTCTGCCTCCTGAGTGCTGGGGTTAAAGGCATGCACCACTAACACCCGACTATAATGTTTTTTTTTTAAATGCTTTCAGAAGGTGAATTATACTCAAATGATGACAGAAGGTGCTATTGGCTGAAATTTAACACATTTTTTTTTTTTTGCTTTGCCTTTTCTGAATTTTACATGCTTCCAAGATTTTCTGCAGTAAGGCAGATAGAATCACTCTGCTCCAAACAAATACGAAAGTATTCACTATTGAATACATTTTAAGAATAAACTAGGGGCTGGGGAGATGCATTTGGAGCTCCAATATCTACATAAAGTGGCATGCAGGAGAACTGGAGAGGCAGAGAGCCAAGTCCCTGGGGCTGAACTGGTGAGCTCCAAGTTCAGTAAGAAACCTTGTCACTGAAAGGTGAAATGTAGATAAGGAAGACACCTGACATCTCAGTCTCCACACACGTGTACAAATCTGCACACACATGCAGACACTCTTGAACATGTATGCACACACACACACACACACACACACACACACACACAGAGAGAGAGAGAGAGAGAGAGAGAGAGAGAGAGAGAGAGAGAGAGAGAGAGAGAGAGAGAGATGCTCTTAAAAGGACAACTAGCGGCCTGTAAATTTGTAGCTGATGGGACAGATAACCTTTGTGACTGGTCCTGTATCTTGAACAGTGTCAAGATCACTTCTTCCGGTTGAGACTGGACCAGCAATTGGAAGGTCTTCTTTAGGGTACTCAGGACATTTTTGTCAGTGACTCTGTCTACGTGGTAGTAAATTAACTGGAGGATTTCTGACACCTGAAAGAACAGGGAGGGAGAGTTGTTTGTTTTATTTTATTTTGGACAGCAACACTAGCTGAGCAGAAGTCACCATTTAAAGTGTGGGCTGCAAACAATATAGTGTCAGGACCAAGCACAGCTCTATCCTGCTGTACTCTGCCCTGGCCAGGCACTCCCAGAGGACTGTGAGCCTGTGGCCTCCAGCCCTTCAGAAGGGCAGAGAGAAAGCAGCCATGGAGGGCCATAACATGTCTGGAACACGTGGCATGAAGAATGACTTGGGAAATGGAAAACAGGGTATATGGTTGTTGCATCAAAAGAGCCCTGTGGCCGGAGGGAATGGCTAGTTCTTCTGTTTACTGGTAGAGGCTGCTTCATGTTGGATGGCATGGAACCTGGAGTCACCATACCACTTGGATTTGAATGTCACCTCTGAAGTCACCTTTGTGACTTAGAGGACAATTTTCATCTTCTCTGTGTGTTGTGTCCTCACTTAGAAAACAAGAGAAATAATTTTATCTTCCTCAGCATCTAAGTTACGACATCTGCTTTGGCTAGAACAACACTTCTCAACCTGTGGGTTGTGACCCCTTTGGTGGTTGAATGACCCTTTCACAGGGGTCACATATCCAATATCTTGCGTAACAGGATATTTACAATACTATTTGTAACAGCAGCAAAATCACAGTTATGAAGTAGCAATGAAAATAATGTTATAGCTGGGGTCACCACAACATGAGGAACACGTGTTAAAGGGTCGCAGTATTAGGAAGGTTGAGAACCACTGGGTTCATACATTACCTGTCATGCAAGAAGTCCAGAAACTTCAATCTTCATGACTTTTGGCCTCTTTGGGCCTTTCCTCATTATTTTATTATTAGCTGTGCGTGTGTGTGTATGTGTGTCTGCTCTTAATTCTTTTTAAGTAAGCAGTTTGCAAATAAAAAGCTATGTTTAAAGAAAAAAAAACTGTCTAGGTTGAAGTTTGGGTATAACATGGTATATTCTCATCACTGGTTTATGCCATGAACCAAGGAGACAATAACTGGGTGTAACGGGAGAAAAATGACAAAAGATGGAGAGCTGCTTCTTTGCAGGATGCCAAGAATTGAACACAAGCCAGGGGCAAATATGGAATTCCATTTTTAGGATTGTTTATAAGATAGGATGACAAGTGTCTTTACCCTCTCTCCCTTGCATAGCTTTAAGACTCATTGTTCACATTTGATTATACAACAGCCATGTTGCTTACAGCAGAGTCTGACTGTCACCAGGTTCACTAGAGTACAATCTGAACACCAGGCTGAGTAGCTGGCCCCAGAGGCCCCTTCATCTCTAAAGGCCCATCAGTGGTCTGCTTTGAGGAACATGATCAGATGCCACAAAGGGCTGGCTATGTGTTTAGCTCCTGCTATTGTAACTTTCCAACTTTGTGATGGCTTGAAAACAATATATTGCTGTGGAATATTATTTTAGCTAGGTAAAGATATGTTACATTTGTTTATGCTGACGTTGTTAACAATGTACAGTTGTGTTACATTTGTTTATGCTGCCTTTGCTGACAATGTAAATATGTGTTGCATTTGCTTTTGCTGCATTTGTTTATTAAAAAAAAAGATGGGTTGCTGTTTCACCTTGCCTGCGTAAAGCACCTGATTGGTTTAATAAAAAGCTGAATGGCTAATGACTAGGCAGGAGAGGAATTGGGGAGCTGGCAGGCAGAGAGAATAAGTAGGAGGAGAATTCTTGGCATGAGGAAGAAGAAAGGAAAGAACCAGGAAGAAAGAGAGATAGATGCCCAGGGCTAGCCAGGCAGCCGCCAGGCAGCAGACACAGAGTAGGACATATGGAAAGAAAGGCAAAAGAGACCTATGGCAAAAGGTAGATGAAGAGAAACAGGTAAAGTTATAAGAGCTAGTGGGAAAAGCATAAGATAAGGCCGAGCATTCATAACTAATAAGAAGTCTCCATGTCATGATTTGGGAGCTGGCTCAAAAGAAAAAGGCTGGTGCAACACATATTCCTTAAAAACAATACTTTGAAGTTCCATCTTCTCTGGGGAGAGTAATAAGTGGAACAACATTCGTTGTTGGGTGGTAGCAGTGAGCTGCAATTTTGTTAGTCACCAGATGACAAGAGGAGACAGTGTGCTGCTAAGCCAGGCTGTTTGGTGGGCTAGGTGTGTTCTCAGCTTCCAGTATTTCAGTTTATTAGACTATCTGCCATTCAGTCAAGGCATACCTGAGTATATCTATGTTGTTGATGTATGAGTCGGAAATCCTCTACAGGTTCACACTTTGAACACTTGTTCCTCAGCTGGCAGCACTATTTTGGGAGGCTGTGGATTAGGGGGACCTAGCTAGTGAAAATCTGTCACTAGAGGTAAGCTTCTGAAGGCAACAGCCTGGCCCCTGGTTCCAGCACCCTGCCTTGCTTCCTAGTCTACTGCCATGGGGACAGGCTCCTCCACACACTCCTGCTGCCATGTACAGAGATTTTCTGTCATGTCTTCCCTGTCATGGTAGACTGAAACCCTCTGAAGCTGTGAACCAGAACAAACCTTCCCTTCCTAAAGTTGTTTCTGTCAGGCATTTGGTTGGTCACTAATATGTATACCTCTGCCTACCAGTGTTCTTGGCCATGCGTTCTCCCACATAAGTGAAGGAGCAGCTACAAACAAAATATATACACAATGTCTGGAAACGGGAAGGATGACCAAGGTCCTGGGAGCCAGTGGTACCCTTCCACTCTACCTTTGACACAATTCTTGCCTTCTTAATAGAGACGGGAGCCTGGTCATCACTACTTCATTTTTTCCCACAGAAATAACCTTCTGCACTATTGCAAAAACAACTTGCCATATAGGCTTTTCTCTCCAGAATTAAGGGACTTGGGATTCCTTCAGCTCAAGTTGATAGGAAATAGAACAAGACCCCCAAACAGAATAGAGAGGTTCTAAAGCCGTATGTCCTCCAACGCCTACCTTGGCAACTTCCGTAACAGGGCACTTCAGAATCACCTTTAACATCTTGGTGGCTGCCAAGGCATTATTTAAGTCACCACCGGTCATGGCCTCCATGGCCACTATGATCACATCGGCTCTCTCTTCAGGGGTCAGGTACTTCCTGAAGAACTGAAAGAAAAGTAGAACTCTCCATCCCAGCATCCCCCTTGAAGACGGCCCCCAAACATCGGGCATCCACAGAGACCCATCAGACAGGTCTCAGTTAGGAGGCAGCCTGGGAAACATCTGTGATTTGAGGTCAACTCCAAAGTGCCACCAACTCTGATGTCCCCGAGAAGGAGCAATAGTCCAGACAATGTGACACAGAGGATGATACCCTACGCCTTTTCATTTCTAAACTTGAAATGCAATTAGGTGAGGCCATTGGAAACATGTTCTGTGCCTAGTGGCTTTACAGCATTCCAAAGCAAGGAGAAAGCCAGACATGCCCCACATAGGAATGTGCAAATGTGATGCTCATTGGGGTCAAGCAACATTGGTGCCAACTCTATAGTGGTTCTATTGCTGGAATCTAGGGGGAGTGTGAATAAGACAACACTTGGTACCTTTGCCCTCTGGGACCTCACCATTAACCCGGATTGGGAAGTATGGAAGATGGTGCGGGGGGAAATGCTAAGAATGGCTGAGGCTGAAACTAGCTGGGAAAACTAAAAGGCTTCCTGGAGTCTAGTCCCAAGGAAAAAGGGACTAAGTTCCATCCATGAGGTAGAATGTGTGAGGTGGGGAGTGGGAAATGTGACTACGTGTCCTGCACTGAAGATGGGGGGCCAGCAGGAAGAGGAGACTGAATAAGGTCAAGGCAGGGGCAGGTATGGCAAGAACCAGACCCTGAAGGTCCTGGTAGACCAACTGAGGAGGTTCAGACCGTAGAGAAAGACAGCGGAGAGTTTGCATGACGTCTGAAGGGAATGTTATGAGGTTTGTGTTTTAGAAATGTTTTTCTGGCTGCACATAGAAAAGGTACAGCAGAAAGATGGCTGAAATGGAGCATTTAGGAAGAGGCTGCTGTAATGACTAGGCAAGAGGAGGCAGAGCAGTTAAGTGTGGTGTGGCTTTGGATGTGGAGAGGGATGGAAAGGAAGGAACAAAGGACGAATCCTGGATATCTGGCTGAGGTGATCTGGGTTGGCTGAGCTTGGAGACATCAGCACTTCTTTCTAAAACCACCTTAGTGCCCTCTAACTTTACACAGCTCAAGTGTCACTAGGAGAATTAGACACCTGTCCTGAGAACTTGGACTTTGTAAACGCCTGTTTGTGGGATTGTTACTCCTACAATCTACTGCCCAGCCTCCTCTCTCCCCCACTAACCCTCCCACTCTGGGCATCCCGTGTACAGTGGGCATCTGGGTTACCAGTGTGAGATTCTGCATGTTGGCCATCCAATGTCCACGGAAATGCTTCTGCAAGTCCTTCAGGATGGTCTCTGTATTCGGTCTGATACCTCCGATCCAAAAACAGCAAGTAAGGGGCTAGACCTTATCAGAGGAAAAGGAACCCACACTCCCACCTCTTCTCTGAGAGCAATAGAGACAAATGGATTACACAGCATTGGCCCCAAAGAATAGAGGGAATTCCCTAGCATTCAAATAAAAGGTGAAGGGAGGGTGTGGGCTGGGACTCAAGCTGGCCCCTGTTGCTGTACTATGACAAAATGTGAACTTTGAGTCATTCCTGTGTGCTTAGCAGATTGTACCCCACTGAACCACAAGAAGCCAAGGTCTTGAAACTGCCTTTGTGGGGGGTGGGGGCGGGGGTGGGGTTTCCAAATGCCCTGGGTGCCTCTGTGACCATGACTGTTTGAAGCAGAAGGGCTTGGTCAAAAATCCCCACATTTGTTCCCCAAGAAAATATGCTTACTTCCCTAGTGTTACGAATATAGTCGGGATGGGACATCCAGGAAATATTGAAGAACCAAGTGGACCCCTATAAGTGGCTACAAGCTTAGATGCCCCCTCACAAGAACATCATCAAAAAGGACATATTATCAGAGATG